ACGATGAGCCCTCACAGCTGTTAGCTTTGTTGCAGTGGCGCTGCTGTGGGAGGTTGTGGTCCTCGCCCTCCTTGTTTACAAGCATGGCTTCTTCTTATGCAATTCTCTGCATGCTGCACTATCACATACCATTAGAGCTGCTGCTGCTGCTGCTGCCTACAGTATGAATCAATGGCAGCACGAATAGTTGACTGATGGCGACACTGCAGACATCTTCTGCGGTACCCAGCTAAGGGCCAGCTGGCACTGATGTCATAGAAGGATGCCACTGTGTTCACTGTTAGCACTGGCTGCGCATATGAATTTTGCATGAAACTGACTGGCTTCATTTGTCTCAAATACCACACATATTCTTTTCCTGGATTTTCAATCACGTTTTTATGACCAGCAGTGCCTTCAACCTTATTGTGTGGTCTAAAACCTACATTTCCCTTCCCTCCACCCCTTTTATCTCCTTTTTATCTCTACCAACCAGTGCAGGTTATCTTTGCTCTGTCATCTCTGCATAATAGTGAGGTGAGGGTATTGGGAGGATTTCTGAGCTAGCGATGCAGAAACAGAAGCGATAAGAAAAAGTTTAGATATTCTGCACATGTGCGTGACATGAGCATCATCTGACGTAATGGAGGAAAGGCATGGATCTCCAGGAGGATCTGTTTTCATAACAAATGAACATTTATCTCTGTGTGTGTGTGTGTGAGAGAGATAAGCAAGGTTAGAGAAGGGTACAGAAAGAAAGTGCCAGTAGCTAGTGCTGCCCTACTTTCCACTGCATGACACATATTTTATCCAAGTTTAGAAGCAAAAGTGTCTGCATGCGTTAGGCCACCACCGTACCGCCTCGTGTCAGGTCAGGTAACTCTTGCTGACATCACCTCTGGTCGCCGGCGGTCGATCGCTGTCCTCAAGGTCACAGTGCAGGTTATCTGTTTCTCTGTCACCCCCTCTCCACCAGGCTGTACTGTATCAGAAGACACAGTGTCACATTGTGCGCTGCCACCGTGCTGAGTAGGAGGCAGCACTCATATGATGTTCTAGGGAGAGGTGAATAGCCGTCATTCATGAGAGGGTGCCCGTTCGCTCGGCAGCTGACTTCAGACACCGATCCTGCCTGTCAGCTGCTGGCGGGTGTCTTCCACAGACCTAACTGTTGTGTCCTTTGCACTAGTAGCTGACACATTAAACATGTTTGTTGTTCTTTATAGCAGACAAGGAAACACAGCACAGGTTTTGGAGTCCAGAGAATACAGGTCATATTTAAAGAAGCCTTTTATTAGGAAAGCAGTTGCAGAAAATAAGGATCCTTTTACGAACTCCTAACTAGTTTTGGCTCAGAAACCCTTCTTGCAAAAGCATTATAGTGCATGTTGTTAGGTAGCTGTGGTATTTTGTTAAACTTTATAAAGATATCCGGTACGCCACAGCTGATCCTCTGACAGCATTAATCCCTATTAGCAGGCACTGGATCTCCCTGCACTGCTGTCCTTCAGACCACATCCTCTGGATGTTTTCACGACAGTTTGCACCACCAGCAGCAGCAGCAGCTCCGCCAAGACCAGCCCGGCAGCTATTAGTGTGTATGCGGAAGAATAGAATGAGACCACAAACAACGTTGCCCCACTTTTAACTTTCCCTCACTCGATATATCGAGACGAACTATAAAGATGGAGGAAAAAACAGAGATGCTGATGGAATGAAAAGAACCAAAACCCTGGTTATGTGTTTCTTCGTACTTAAACGCACACACACAGTCCTTTTACCTCTTTCAGAGGAGCCTTAGACTTTGTGGTTGCATGCTGTCTGGACAATAATCAGCAGGTAATCCCTTTAAGCCATTATTTCTCTAATTGCTTTGTCTTGGTCAGCAGATGGACACCGCGGGGATGTTGTGTTGTCCTGTCTGCTTTCTCTTTAGTGAATCATAGCTGAGTACAGAAATAACCCGTGCAGTATTGTTTGCTCGACTGCATATTCATTCGCTTATGAAACAAGATTAAAATGATTATTTGCTTTTGTGTCAGTATAGTTCCTGTGGGCGGAGAACACAGTATACGAAACAGCAGTGTGGAAAGTCTTTAACTGTGCAATAATCTCACAACTTTCTTCACTGTCTAATATCCATTTAACAACTAATGATAACTAATGATTCGATCTTGAAATTGATCAATCATGTACCACAGGACAATAATGAAACCA